TCGAAAACAATCTAAGTTCAAGGGGGAGATAATTCTGGAAATAGTCTTGCTAGAGTATTTAACCTTCTCAAAAATGTTGAGTGATAATAAGAAACATATATATGAAGTCTGAAGTAGATACATTAGGAAATAAAGAAGTTATTTAAAAAAGAAAACATTTTTTTTCATTAAAATTCTAAGTTCAAGGGAGGTAATACTGATAATTTTTGTGCTAGAGTTGTAAACCTTGTCACATATGATGTGGTTGATGACTAGAAACTTATATTTAAAGTTTGAAGTAAACACCTTAAGAAATAAAGAATTTATAGAGAAAAAGCTGAAAAATTTAAATCAGAAATCTTGAAATTCAGGCTATTTGTTGCCATAGCAACCAGAATTTTCAACATAGGAAGAAAAGAAAAAAATGTGCATAATCTCCAGGCTGCCATCTACCCATATTTCAAGTTTCATAAAAATATTTTCAGTACTTTTTGAGTTATCACTGGATCCAGTTTATGTGTTAAATTTGCCATATTTTCAGACTATTTGTTGCCATAGCAACCAGAATTTTCAACATAGGAAGACAAAAAAAAGACGTGCATAATCTCCATACTGCCATCTATCCATATATCAAGTTTCATAAAAATATTTTCAGTACTTTTTGCGTTATCACGGGATCCAGTTTTGTGGACGGACGGACTGACAGACAGACGGACAGACAGACGGACGGACAGACGGAGGGAGGGTAAACCTAAAGTCCCCTCCGGTTTAACCGGTAGGGGACTAATAATAACTGTAAACTGTTAAAAAGGGTTATTTTTCATTTACGCGTCTATAGTGTATCGTTAACATAAGCGCGCTTTTACATATACACATAACATTTAATTGTTGTTGTTTTTTTTTTTTGCAGTTTCCATTCAAATGACTGAATTGAAAAAGGTATAAGCGCTTGAGTTTTATAACACTTAGCTGCTTGTTAAGTACAACTCTTCCCATTTTGAGTTCGGTGTCCTCTGAGTGCCCTGCTGATTTGACTGGATTGTATCGGGGGATGCGTTCTATAAACGTCACCTTGGCTGGTTAATCTGTTCTCATTTTATTAGTTGATGTAGGAAATTTTACAATACCTTGTCTTATTGTGTAGGGATTTTTGATGTAATTAATTTAAAAATAGCATGTCCTTTTCTATTAGCTTTGTTGATTTTGGAAGTGTGTCTTACATTATTTTGTTTTTAGTGTACAGGTAGGGGGTCTTACAATATCTTGTCCTATAAGTTTGTTGATGTAATACGTCAAAGAATGTCTTGTTCGTTTTTGTAAGGTTTACTGATGTATGAAGTCTTACAATATCTTGTCCTATTGTTTTAGATTTGTTGTAATAAGACGTCTAGCTATAATATGTCCTTTTTTGTTAGGTTTTTTGATGTAGGAAATCTAACAATATCTTGTCTTTTTGCGTTAGGTTTGTTGATCATGCAGGAAGTCCTTCTTATTTGTAAGGTTCGTTGATAAGAGATGTTCCATAATAGTTTGTCTTTTAATGTAAGGTTAGTTAATGTAAGAAGTCAGAAAACTGAAATTTAATTTAGTACAAGTAAAACAAATTCGTATGAGTTGGATAATTATGTTCGATGAATTATTAACATTTCGCTTACTGCGGAAACAGTTTCTCTACTCACGTGTGTGTTTAGTGCAGGCCAAGATAACCAGCATATCCATTCACTAATAGTACCTGTTTTTGAATTTTCACAAGTGATGTCAGGATTGATGAACAATGCCAAAATGAGCTTGATAAAAGTTTAAAGGAAATATCTATTTCATTTTGTACGTTCAGTACGTTTACAAAAGACTGGTATTAAATATAAGAGTGCGTGTTCCTGTTATATTCATATTTATCATACAACGATACAACTTATGAAAAAAACAATTACTTTCATTGTTTATCAGCGCATAATAATCCCTTAACAGGAAATTCATGTTTAACGTCAACAATAAATGTTGTACAGCAGACGGTTTCGCCTAAGAGAGCAATATGTTTCCTGCAATAATGACCTAGGTTATAAGGACTAGACAGTTTATCTACCCAAAACATTGTAAAATATATATAAATATATTAATAACTATATATATCTAGGACACGATCTCGCTGTTACTTGTAGTTATGTTGGAAAAATCAATAAAGATCCATCCAGATGGTTTTAATGACAGCACCTAATCATATTTGTCATATCATTTTATAAAACAAAAATTTAGTGACAACGGAAAATGACTGAAATACATATATCTTTTAAAAAGAATGGGACTTTATTATTACTATTATGTTAGTTATTGGCAAATTTAAAGTTTTAAAACCAAAACCGTATGATAGAGAAAATGTGAAAATATTGCATTTTAGTGACGCTTAAATCGCCTTGTATTCTTTTATTCTTTTTTTCTAAAGTCTTTAATCGTTCGAAATCTATTAACTCATTGTTGTTATTTAAGTGCACTTATCACATGACCTGATTGTGTTGTTTCATGTCCTTAAACTTTCACAACAAAATTGATCAAGTATAAATGAGAAAAAACATGAAAACAGTTATGCGAAATAGCGGCGGTCTAAACGAATTGCCATTTTGTTTCACATGTAACGTATTGTGGTGAACGGGCCTTAGAAGAATTAGGATACACTTAAAGTATGAAATGATCTTCTAGAAATTAAGTTGTGACTTAGTGGTTAAGGTGATTGCCAGGTATCATGGGTCTATACATGGGTAACGAGTATGTTTCTTCACATGACATTAGGACTGGTTAGAACGTTGGTGTTTCTTCTCTGGTGTCAGTGCCTGATAAATTAACGGCGGGGCACCTGAGGTCTTCCTCTACCAGTTAAGCTTTGAGTATGTGTGTAAAGGCATGAGGATGGGTTAAGCATACAAAATTTATGTAAAATAAATGAAAGTATCATGTTTTTTTCTAGAATTATTATGAAGAAGAGAAATGAAATAGATATAGTGAATTCAGTATAACCATTTCGTAAAACAACAGAAGCAATGTCAATATAATTATGATGTCATGTTTTATTTAAAAACACACATATTATCTCGGCATGTGACTGACTCTGTATCTGGTATATCTAGTGAGTGAATGAAAAAGCTGCCCGAGAACAATGCCTTTGCATTGTACAGACGGTGTGGCAATAAAATGTTCCCAAGGTAGGACCCTTGTCCTCCAACTTCTAGCGCTACATCCGATATCATAAAGTTTACACCTATTGTTCTTGCAGTAAAACGCTTTGCAGCAAAGCATTGTGTTTCCATTAAAGCTGATCGAATACACGATTTTCGTGCTTGGGTGTCCAATTATAGATGTGTCTGACCTACAATAATATAATAACGTTATTTTATAAAAACAATATAACGCGAAACGCAAAATTTGGTCTTTCAAAAGTATTGCATTAAATTGTGACAAAACTCATAATTGCTGAGGAGGAAATAGCGTACCATTGATTAGAGATAAAAATAAAGATCAAACATATATAACTTCTATAAATAAATAAAAAATACGGCTATCTTGATAAACCTTAAAAAACTACTTATAATTATATTGTTGTACATTTTATTTGTCATTAATGTATAATAAACGTATAAACTTCACTCTAAAGAGTATGTTAATAAACAAGTATCAATGTTAAATAAAAAAAAACTGGTGACTGTGTGTTTCAATTCCACTGGGGTCAACATTGTTTTGAAAAGAGAAACTTTTAATTTTATAATATTGTTTGTATAGGATCGGTATTTAATGGTGTTACATGTTAAATTAAATGTTAAGTATCATTCCGGATACAGTAAAATTTGAGAAAACCGGACGCTGAGAAAATCGGAACTCTTTAAATATAGGACGAATTATTCAGTCCCAAAGTTTCCCTTCTTACACTATTGCATTAAACATTGACAATACCGGAATCTGTAAAAACCGAATATCGGACAGTTGATAGGGGACTATAAAGTCCTTTACATAGACAATTACCCTGACAAAACCGGACGACGAAGGTGTGAATAACCTTGTATACTTGTCAATTGGTTGTGTCTAAAACACTACCTGAGCGGTAACGGAACGCTGATTGTCTAATTTGATTATTATGTCTCTTTACACAGTTTGATTTATTGTAAGGCATAGATTTTACCGTTTTGTATAAATGCCAAAATGCACGATAAATTGGTAAGTTAAAATCAGTATAAAAAAGAATAGAGTATTTTTATATTGTGTTGCTTTTTGTATATTCATTTCCCAAAATGACAACGCAATGGAAACGACATTTATCGGCGCTAAGTTCTATTCCATGGCCGAAAAGAATTCGACGAGAACTGTCTATAAGTTAAAAAGTTGAATAAATTAAAAACAATGAAACTTTTCGGAGACCTGCTTTAAAAATCTTTATATGACAAATATGGTATCGGCAATTGTTACGGCAGATATCGTTTTTGCCGGAGGTTTCGTTATGAAAGGCTGGCCAAAGGATTCGATACTGAAGAACACCTTGCTATCGATGCAATTTATTCTACGTCAGACTGAAAACACATAAACAATGAATTTACAATCAAATCAAGAAATCGCGAAAACACAATACAAAATAATTCAATGTTTTAGTTCACAAAATTCACTCAAAGAATCGGAATTTAGTCGATACATTTGTGCTAAAAACGCAACTTATTACAAAAGAATACTTAAATATGTATAATATTACCTCCAATGGCCTTCTGAACCTACTCGTTAAAATAAAACGTTTCTCAAACGAATTTCTCTCTGCAAATGGCCCTTACAAAAAAACAAGGGAGGTAACTTTAAAGTGCAACTTGCCGAGTTCGTTTGACAAACAGTTACATGGCTCCCCAAATTAGCAAACATTTAAAACTATCTTAAACAAAATGAAAATAACTTATTCATGATACCCAATGTTTAAGAACAATGAGGCTCCTCGACGGGGACATCCTCGGTCGCTTGCAACAAAACTAACTTATGAATCGGTCGCTCCAAATAGAGCCTTTAGAATCCAGATTGCTAGTAGCTAAGACAATCTTAACCTTGCGGACTAGACCATCATCTTCCGTTACAGTTTTTACGATTCGGCCTAAACGCCAACAATTACGCGATTGATTGTCATCAACTATTAAGACTACATCACCTTCGCAAGCGTTTCGCTTAGGAAATGACCATTTCTTTCGCACTTGCAAGTTTTGCAGAAACTCAGCCTTCCAACGATTCCAGAATTGATCTACAAGATACTGTACGCGTCTCCACCTTCTACGCGAGTACACATCGGTACCTTGAAAATATCCAGGCGGAGGTAACACTACATTTGATTTCAATGTAAGCAATTGATTTGGAGTCAGCGGATTGAGAGAAAGTGGGTCGTTTATATTGTCAACCGTAAGAGGGCGACTATTAACTATTGCCGCTGATTCAAGCAAAAAGGTTCGCAAACTTTCATCGTCTAATTGCGTGCCATGCTTTTGAAGCAAGTAAGCGATTACGTTACGGACTGATCTTATTTGCCTCTCCCAGACTCCCCCATGTGACTCGCGGAAGGTACATTCATCTTGAAATCGACTAAGTCACAGTTTTCTTTTATAAGGAATTCTGTCATTTTGGAATGATTTAACTCATAAAATGCTTCTTTAAGTTCGTTGTCGGCGCCTACAAAGTTTGTACCCCTATCTGATCGTAACTGACGCACCGGTCCGCGAACTGCAATGAAACGTCTCAAACAGTTTATAAACGAATCAGTTTCAAGCGAGTTAACAGTTTCAACGTGTACTGCACGGCATAACAAACATGTAAACAGTACTCCGTATCTTTTCAATTCTTTGCGTCCTTCCTTAATGTAGAATGGGCCAAACAGATCGACTCCGCAGTATGTAAAGGGTGGAGCTGGTTCCAAACGGTCAACTGGCAGATCAGCCATTTTCTGACCTTGCGCAGGAGATCGCAACTTCCGGCATATAACACACTTAGATAAGAGAAAAGACACTGCCGAACTACAACCAATGACCCAGAAGCCAGCAGACCTTATAGCATTAGTAGTAAGTCCACGTCCCTGATGTGCGACTCTACCATGATAAAAACGTATAACCATTTCTGTGACGTGACACTTCCTGGGAAGAATGATTGGATACTTCACCTGATCTGAAAGAGATGCATGTTGAATGCGGCCCCCTACCCTTATGATGCTACCGGGATCTAAGAATGGATCTAACTTGGACAAACGAGATAAACCCTTTAAAGAAGTATGTCGGTCCGACCTTTCGTTTTCTATGGCCGAGTTGCTACATCTTTGACCTTGTTTCAGAGCTGTGATCTCATTAGCAAAGAATTCACTTTGCACCACTTTAATGATTGCAAGTTCCGGCTCCCTAGATTGTTCATTAGAACCAGTACCTTTAAGTGAAACAAGAGAAGTTACAGGGTCGCTAGCAATCTTGGCTTCTTTAGTCACAAATTCTTCAAAGTCAGAAAATGGAGGAAGTACACCAGACTTTTCTTTTTTCTCGACAACTATTCTATTCCAGCGAGTAACAAGCCACTCGGGTAGTTTTGATAGTAACTTACGATTCTCAAAACTATCATTCAGAACTTCTAGACCTGGAACAGATATCATTGCACTTACACACTGTCGTAAAAAAAACCAGAAAATTTAACAAGATTTTGTGGTTCTCTGGAACCTATTTTAGGCCATTGATCAAGTTTGTTACGAAAAGCGTGTGCTATGGTGAAACGATTGCCATAGCGTTCATCCAGTACCTTTCTGGCATCTTTATATGCGTCTGTTGATGACAAAAGTATATACCCATCAATAACCTCTTTGACAGGACCAGAAACATACTTTCTAAGGTAATACAGTTTTTCGGCTTCTGGAATTTGTTTACCTTCAATAAGAATTTGGAATGCAGACTTCCAAGCCGGATATCTCAAAGGGTCCCCGGTTGAAAATACCAGGTTCTGGAGGGGGAAGTCTACTTAGATGAAACTGTTCTGCAAATGATTTAGCAATATCAGAAACCTGCATCTCACTTGGAATAACCTTTGAATTACTAGTACCAGATGTTGTGTGAGGTATGGGTTTTTTAGAAGTGTAGGTAAATGTTGAAGGTGGGTCAGTGTTATCAACCGACTTTGCAGGTGTATAAGTCACGTGCATTGCTGATTCATCTTTAGTTATACCAAAAGGTGTGAAATGTGAAACAAAATCAGAAGCAGCGGGATTCAGACCACTTGGCAATGAATTGATACTACTGGCCTTATGAAGCGATGTATCTTGTTTATAGAAATGTGTAGAAGTGGTGTATTTCGGTTGTGAGGCTATTGTTGAAGATTTTGAAGTATTAACTGTGGCGGCACTTGATAACTGAGGCTCAGACTTAATGGCAGTATTTCCGTGTGTCTGGATATAGTTTGCAACATATTGACCTGGGTCAACTTGTGGTAATGTGATATCAGTTGGATTTACATTTGATAAGTCTGTATTCTCTATTGACTGTGTAGCTTCAATTTCCGCTTCTTCAACATGTAATTTTTGCAAAGTCTTAATCTTTTCTAAGTCAGCCTTGGCCTTAGCTTCCCAATCAATATATTTCAATTTTGCCTTAAAAGCCGCTGCCTTAATCATTGAATTTGATTTTTGCGACACGTTACTTTTATTTGACATACGACTGTCCTTACTGTGGGATGAAACTTGAGAAACCGAATCATCAACCGATATTTCTGTGATTTTACCAGAAACAGCCTGAAGCATTTGCGTATGGTCACTTTCGAATGACTCCAATTTCAATAAGAGCTGAGCTTCACTATTTGCGAGATCGGTAAGCGAATCTAAAGCAGTTCGTCAAGTTTCAATGTCATTAAAACTATCCTGTACATTGTCTCAACGCTTTTACATTATCATTATCTGAAACTAAAACAGAAAGTTCATTAAAATTTGTACGCCACGACGATATAGCTTTTCGAAGTCCCTTTTTTCTTGATCCATACGCCATTCAAGGCCCTTTTCAGTCAGTATAATTTTGCGCGTGCCCTTTTTTGGAATAGCGCCCTGCTCAATATTCACATTTGAAATTACCGTGTTATCGCAAGAACGCGACTCTGACTGATCTGCACTAAGAGAAGTATCTTGTGTCAAGTTATCTCCCTTTTCTGACATGACTTAAACAATCTAAGAAATGCGTCCTATTATCCTAATAAATAGAAAAATTAATCAAACTTAAATCTATATATAAAAAATATAGAGCATCTATGTAATGTGTGGCTGAGTTATCTCTGTCTACACGACCTTACGCCAAAAAATGAATCGCAAATCGAATTTCCTCGCACAAAAAAATAATGAAAAAGCCTTATACAAAAAATCTTGCAATAATACATATCATATATGCAATACAAAAATGAAAGTCTACAAAACAATGATTACTAATAAATGAAATAGTACATGTATGGCTGGGCAATCCCGGCCTAAACTCACAAACAATTCAGTTATGCGCTACTGACACTCTTTCACGATGTTCCTTTCCAGCGAATGAAGCCACACCTTTGATAATGTAGAATTTGGATGTACACCATCAGCAAGAAGATTATAATTCATGGAGTAACGTTGCTTCTTGTTTTTCCCTTTTCGGCTCCGTACCATATCCTGGTTGATTTCAAAGAATATGATTCATTTAGATCTCTGATGGCTGTATTTACTTCATCTATAAGCCTTGTAAGACACCGACCATCCTCCGAACAAGTGGTTAAATCAATTTGGAAATTGCCTTTGTTGTGATTCCAGCGATCAATTGAATAATACGTAACGTCCAGAAAGGACACCTTTGCATCTGGATGTTAACTAACCAATTCTTTTATTTGATGGAAATAGAAATAAGTTTATCCTTAGGCTGATCCGATTTATTTATTAAGGAAATGGTTTTCCCTCTCTTCACGATGAGGTCACAAGTCCCTTTCCACACGTAAAGGCTAACCTTGCCAAATTTCTTGCAAAGTTCATCTAAATGTTTATGTACCCAGGCTAAAGTTTCACTAGACTTTACACCGCCCTTGCATCTAAATTCTATGGCTTTACTAATATTGAACTAACACAGCTCCGCAAGTATTTACATTTACTGTCACCAATTAATACTGGTGTCTAAAGTAAGGGTTTATCAGAAGAAATTTTATCTTCAGAATTTATTTTCTTAGTTAACTTACTAAGACTCATCAGGAATTCCAACGCAAGACATTAACAAACGTCCGTTCACTCAACAGCTTCGTTTTGAGGTCTGGAGTTTGACTGTTCCGGCAGATATCGTTTTTGCCGGGGGTTTCGTTATGAAAGGCTGGCCAAAGGATTCGATACTGAAGAACACCTTGCTATCGATGCAATTTATTCTACGTCAAACTGAAAACACATAAACACATAAACAATGAATTTACAATCAAATCAAGAAAACACAATACAAAATAATTCAATGTTTTAGTTCACAAAATTCACTCAAAGAATCGGAATTTAGTCGATACATTTGTGCTAAAAACGCAACTTATTACAAAAGAATACTTAAATATGTATAATATTACCTCCAATGGCCTTCTGAACCTACTCGTTAAAATAAAACGTTTCTCAAACGAATTTCTCTCTGCAAATGGCGCTTACAAAAAAACAAGGAAGGTTACTTTAAAGTGCAACTTGCGCCAAACTAAGTGAGTTCGTTTGACAAACAGTTACAGCAATATTTACAATGGGAGCATTATTATAAACAAATAAAGTAAACTATGTCAGTTAAATCATTATCCATTACCCAAATGCATATACGGATGTAACTGGACTATATCGTTATGAGGTAACTGCTGTTGGTTTAAATCCAAAATTTCATTGTATTTATATGCAATAATAGGACAAAAAATGATTAAAACATATTTTATTGTATTTTTATCATTTAGCAATATAAGTTCACACGATCATGAACGTGCAAATGTAAAGCATCCTTTGTAAGTCATTGCTCGGTACATAGGATCCTGAACAGCTGACGGGGACATTGAGAATACCGGACCGCTGTGAAAACCGGACCAAACCCTCGGTCCGTAAGCCGTCCGGTTTTTTCAACTTTCACTGTATATTAAAGATCATACAAAATCAAAAGTAAACATTAAATATGTCACATATTTGTCAAGATCAACCAATATGCTTCAGAGACAGTAACCAAATTTATCGTATCTGTACAAAAGACCAAGACATTTCAACTTCATGAATTTCCGATTTCATGTTCGTGAATTCGCGTTTTCAACATAAGTTCAAAATATGAATTCGCAAAGTTCAATTCGTGAAGTTTTGTGAATTCTGTATGTTGAAATCGTGAATTCTGTATGTTGAAATCGTGAATTCTGTATGTTGAACTTGAGAACTCATGACGATAAACTCGAGAATTCAAGTAGTTAAAATGTCACTAGCGTTTGTCGTAGGTTTGGTAACATTTTTATTCATATTTCTAACTAACCGAGATAAATAAATCATATAGCATGTGTGAGTTATTTACATTAATTTTTAAAGTAATTGTATATATCATTCGTTTCTAAACGTTTATAAATGTAACGATTTTGGACGATATAACTAATTCTTTAGAGTTTCATTCACCCCGACTATATTGCCAATTTTTCATTAGATATAAAACAAAACAGAGCTATATATAAATATGTTACATACTTGCATTCCGATCCAAAGAATAATGGTGGAGCCCAACAACTATTTCCACCTGCCCCAAGAATCCCAGATATACAAAACGATGCCAGGAAAAGAACACATACGATATTTGATATCATGGTAACTGGCTGTAAATGAATAAAAGTGCACTAGAAAAAAAAGATAATTAATTTTATATATGTGTTGTTGAAACATAATATACATGTTTATGCCCCTTCTTTCTGAACGGTTGTCCTTATTGGTTGATGTATCATAATTGCAGTCAACTTTTAATCCTGCTAGGTCGTAAGAGACGGTTTAATGTTTCGAAAGACTGTACTCTTTGTATCTCTTAACTCAAACAAGTGAGGTAATTTTGACCGACCCCTGGTAGCCAAATTCATCTTGCCTATTTCGGCGTTTTCGCCTTAAAACCAAATAAATCATAAATGTTTATGAATTGACCTCTAAAATTAAGATAACAATAACTTACATGTGCCTGACATGTGACCTGTTTCCGCTATCTACATGTTTGTCAACAAATACAATCTTTATCAACTGTAAAATGACTCTCTATATGATTATACTTTGGAAGAAAGTCCAAGGCAACATTGCTACCCTAACCGACTAAGGTCAGTTCAAGCGGGCACTAGAATGTCCTGCTGTGATTTTACTAGTTGTCCTTTTGACGTACTGTTGAAAACCTTAAAGAATGACTAGAATACTATTCCAGTCTCGTTTATCCTGGCATGTTTGCATTGACTTGGCTGAATTTGTTTCTACTTTTATAACAACAATCACTTATTTCTTATGTATTTACAAGTACTTATATTCTGCTTGCAACACATGAAAGAGGGTTTTGCAGTACAAAGATAAAAAAATTGTTTAGAAAAAGCAGTTCTTACAACTATAATTTCTACCCTCATACTTGTTTATTCAATATCTTATCATTTCCACAAATAAATAACATACATACGTGTAGTACAATGACTCCAGAAAAAAACAACATGGCCAAAAAAAACGGTTAAAGTTTTGATTTGGAAACCAAATGAAATATTCGCTATTTCATGAAACCGTTATAATTGATTATGTCATTGTTTTCTCCCTTAGCGTACAATTGTTCTAAACATATAGGAAATATCATACGAATATTATGCAACACCATCTTATTTCGTCAGATAATTAGAATTATGAAATGTTAAAATACACATCATATTATCAAAAACTCAACTTACCTTTGAATCAATGCGAAACTTGGATATAACGTTGATAACTGATCTGCGTTCAAAAATTTCCTGTGTTGACCAATGTAAGCGTATCTTTATTTATATAAGCGCGCATTTTCATTTTTTTTTTCTTAAAGACCGGATCTGTAAGTTTTCAAATGTTGTTAACTGTTCTTTGTGGTTAGAGACATTACCTTGCACAATGTAAAGCATTAATGGTGTTTATCACCTGACAACATATAATGCGATGTTTTAAACCGCAAATCAAAAGAAAATAATGTTTTTTGTTCTAATAAACAGTTTGTATCACTTTATTTCGTTGCGTAATGCATAAATAATGGATGTACATGACTTTTTCGTAGAAATAAAAAAGCTATTTACTTTGTTCAAAACCACCAAATGTCATTTTCCCGGATCTCTCTATCTTCAATGGATTATAATAAAACAAAAATGTACGTATGCGAGCCTACCTTTCTATTGTGTTGTTGTAAATATAACATCTAACAACGTATTTAGGGAAGCAGTTCTATGACCAAGTTTTAAGAAAGAAGTATTTATTTCTATTTGTACACTAGAGGCTGTAGGCTCGGGTGTTACACAGAGCTGGATTTAGTTTTGATACACTGTAATCTTCCTAAGTAAATCTTTATCTTCCTTATTCGATACGTAGGTACGTACTATTTGGTACTTAAGGAAAATGATGGGTTACACTTCAACCCGTCTGTATGCATTTGTACAGAATAAAATTGTTCAAAAGCAATTGGGAGAACACAAATGCTTTTATTACTTTACGTACAAATACTATGGCGTATTTCAATCAATACATTTTGCATGAGTTTTAAAAGATGTAAAACAATTTTGTTGCTTTCTATTATCAGTTGTTTGTAATAAGATACTTCATTTAATAGTATTATTCTCAATTTATCAGCGGTTTGAGTATTTCAAATTTAAAAACAGAATAATTAAAGTTTTTTTTGTTTTTTTTTTCAATTTCAATGAAAAATAACCGATCAAGACATAAAAAGTTATGGTGGCGGCATGGCTAGTAAGTAATTGTGATTGTACTAGTAATGTACTGTTTGCTTGCCGCGTGCTTTCAAATCTTACAGGGAAGGGTGAGGGGGGATAAAATACAGGAATAAATCGGAATCCCAAAAGAATATTCAAAAGGGCAAATGTTGCATATTCGACTTGATTGAGCTTGTTAATAGAAGTCACTGGAACCTGCAACATACCGTGCACCGATGTAAGACGAAATCAGCATTTAAACATGAACATTGTGAACATTTTAATTTTGGAAACACCCGCAGATGTGTTAATATGGCTGTTAAGCCATTATTTTTAAGCTCAGAACTGCTCAGAACTGGTTAATTCTAGAAACGAGATTCGAAAGTACGTTTATGCGTAATAGCTCTCAATGTCGAACTAAAATGAATTTGTATAACTAAATATATCATTTTTAACATGAATATTTTCATATGAAAGATTACTTGTCTAACGGCTATTTCATATATACCATAATAAAAGGGCAAATGGGGTCTTAGTTTCCTAAATTATAAAAAAATACCTATTTTTCATATAAGTAAAGATTTGAGTGCTTAATTTATTTGGAGACAACGTTCTTCTTTCTTTATAAAACTAAACTAGAAACACTGTTTGCATGAAAGTAAAAATGTCAGATCCCGCCTGTGATCAGCGTTGATATGAAAGAAAAAGAGGGAGTCACACCTCAAGAGCAGTGAAAACAAACATAAATCGGTAATAAAAAATGCAACTCATTTTTATTGTGACTGAGCATGACCGATAAGGGAAAGTAAAGGCCTCAACAGACGGTAGGATTTTGAAGTACAACACCAATTCAAACTAAGATGTACAGGCAAATCTTAATGTGTGAAGGCTACTAGTTCTTGAATTCGGAAACGTTAAGTCTAGATGTAAAGGATAGGACATGTTCTATTTTGATAAGCTTGTCGTACAGATTTCTACAGACCTCCCACAATGACAAGTAACAGATTACCAAATTATCTCCTGATAATGGGTGTAATGAATGAAATTCCAGAAAAATTAGGGCTAAAAGGTAAACATAGTAGTAAGATGGGGGTAAAAATGATGTTGAAAAACTCTTCAGGAGACCCAAAGTTGTGTTATGATCGAATCCTAAATTATTCCGAAAATGATTATGTCACAGTATTGAACTATTCTCTAATTAGGGGAGGTGAGGTAGTTTGTAGGCGGTCGGAAAGCTTAGTCAGTAGAGCCGCAGTACGGTATTCCGAGGGTCCCAGCAGCAGGGTCCTACCGTCTGTTGAGGCCTTAAGGTACTTATTCTATAACGTAGCCATATAATTTAACCATAGTGATGATATTTTATAAGTGTACATATAACTCTCGCTATGCAAAACATGTATAGCTACTAGCAAATGTGATCAATTAACAAAATAACAATTATCATATAATTTTGTAGATCTGTATTTTTTGAATGGATAGCGCTTTTAACTATATAGATATAACAGATATTGTGAATCGTAATTCGGATATTACAAAAGCCTCATAGGGGTGAAGTCAAGTCAACTGTATGTGTATTTAGTAAAAAAATAAATGACACTTAAACCTATATTATTGTTTCTTGTCATCGTATACTTTTTATCATTTCACCAGTTACAATTTGAAACCGTTAAAATAATTTGAATTTATTCAATGTGTTAGATAACAAAGCTATTAACAGACTTGTATAGTGTTATTGTTATTGTTGTAGACTAATAGAATTTATCATTAAGTTAGATAGAGGATAGGGAAATCCCAACCCTCGGGCAATCGGTTCCATTTGGGAACTCTAGAGGATAGAGGATAGGGAAATCCCAACCCGTGGGTGATCGGTTCCATCGGGAACGAGCCTTGGCGAGTTCCCAAATGGAACAGATTGCCCGAGGGTTGGGATTTCCCTATCCTCTATCTAACCCAATGACTGATAATTTTTCCCACTCACCTGGACACAATAAATAGTAAGTAAGTAAGTAACGACTTTATTTAATGAGGCTAACACATTCGGTTTCCCGATCTTCCATGTGGGCCTCAGCATATACATAGGATATACATAACAATATAGACATTACACATTTTAAATAACATATATACACAAATAGAAAAAAAAACAAACAAAAAACAAAAAAAAAAACAAACCAAAAAAAAAAATCAAGAAACCACATTTTCATAACCTGGGCACGAAAAATACATAATTTTACAAGGAAGATTAAAACAATATTGTAAAAACAAAACATTATACTTTCTATTCTTGTGTGGCATTATCATTACAACAAAATGTACACTCATTTAATTAGAAAATTGCCATTTAATATATGTGGCTTGAAATTTCTTCAAAGTATCTGAATTTCTAATATAAATTGGGATGTCATTCCATATTTTATGACCAGAATAGTCAAATGATTTCCTAAAGTACTCAGTTGTTGATTTCGGTATGACTAGTTTCTCATTTTGAACAGATCTTAAGTTGAAGTTGTGTTTGTCATTTATCATTTGGAATTTATTTTTCATATAATTAGGAAAAGATGGCTCATTTATAGATTTATACATGAGAATAGCTTTTTTGTACATAATTCTTTGATCAAAGGACATCCAATTAAGTTCTTTAAATTATTTATTTGATGGGGAATCAAAACTTTTATCCAAGATTATTCTAGCAGCTCTTTTTTGAAATTTGATAATTTGTGAAAGTAATAAAAAGAGTTTTCTAGAATGATGATCAAGATATTGTTTAATTCTAAGAAGCAGGTAGAGTTGTGAATTGCATTTTCCTATAGTTTTTTGAATTTGAGTTTTCCATTTGAGATTGTTGTCAACATAGACACCTAGTACTTTTTCTGTGTCTGTAAATTCTATTTCTGTGTTATGAAGATACAGTTTCTGTGTAGAATTATTTTCTTATTTTGTATTCCTAATTGACAGAGTCATAGCTTTTGTTTTAAGTGCATTTAGTACCATTGAGTTTTGCATGCACCATGTGTTAACATTATCAATATCTGTTTGAAGATTTTCATTGACTTCTTGTACAGTATTTCCTATAGAAGTTAACGAAGTGTCATCTGCAAAATATATTAGCATTAGATCTTTTTATATGCAGATGTATGTCATTTACATATATTAAGAAAAGTAAGGGTCCCAGGACTGAGCCCTGGGGTACTCCTGAGACAACGTCAGCAGATTCAGATAAAAGACCCGACACACTTACTTTTTGCATACAGCGAATACGAGGCTAAAATGGCTGCCGCTTAATTTTAGCAGCTCTGAGATATTTTGATATTTTTAGTGTTTTAATGTTCGGAACTAGCAAAATAAATGTAAACTCTGGTGATATGGATTAATTAAAACGCACTGTAATACGGATTATGCTTATTTATAGCTGGTGTTGCTGATAAAATCAAATAGAATTTAGTTTGTGTACGTATATGACACGTGTAAACTTCTTTGTGCTTCGGTGATTATTATTGGATATACATGTACCTTATCAATTAACTGGACAATACACAGGTCAGTTATACATGTTAAATTCTTTATAATCTGTAAACAATACTGTAAAATAGTGGCTATAATGAATAAAATGAAAACGCCTTCAGCAGAAGATAGAAAAAGGCCTTCCCCTATCTCACCAACAACGCCGGAAGATTCCCATAATCCCGAAAAGAAAATAAACTTAAATATTAGTACATCTGGTGAACCAGAAGGAACAGGATCGTCTATTGTTGTAGACCCTTCTAAATATAGCGAACTGGAATTGAAACTCAATACTAGTGATATGCTATCAATAGCAAATATTGTCAAAGACGCTCTCAAAGATGATCTCAAGTCCTTCATTCAGGAATCCATTACGGAAGCTACAAAGGCCATAATCTCCTCTGTATCCGAAGTATATGAAGACAGGATTCGCAAGCTGGAAGGTGAAAACACAACTCTGAGATCTGATTTAAAGGAAGTTACCGGACGGGTTGAAGAGCTAGAGTTACTTAGGGATGAGAGCGAGCAGTACAGTAGGCGAAACAATGTTCGGATTTCCGGATTCCCTGTTGTACCAGGCGAAAGCACCGATGATATTGTTCTACAGATGGCGAAGGAAATGGGCACGGAAATAGATATCGAGGACATTGACCGTTCTCATCGCACAGGCAGCA